CTCAGATTTATACTGAAGAATTATACTTGGAGACAGAAATTCCTTGTTTATACTATTTCTCAATTAAAGAGTTCTAGGTGGGGTACTCCAGCTACTCTAACTTTGAGCAGACAACATCTATGGAACTGTTTTACGTGGGCTGTGGAGGGGGTTGTGAGGTTGGTCTTCTGAAACACCATTCTAGTCACTTAGTGGAACAGTAGCTAGGTAGCTACAGTGGCAACTGCTTGGAGGGGAAAAGCAAAACAAAACAAACCCTGTTCTTACTGCTCATTTTGTAGGCAAGATTATTTCAAGTTGTTTTATCTGTGACTTATCATAAGGATAAAGGATTTACCTATATTTTCAKTTGGTGCCTGTGGAGAGATCAAATATTTCTACCTTTACTTTCAGGCCAGTAAACCGTTCTCTTTGTTCTGTCTTTTAGTATCAATAACCAGATTAGTTTTGTTCAGGTTTATTGAACCGTTAATAGAGATTGTATTATGAAAAGCATCTTCACAAGGTAACTATCCTTTTCATATATCTTCCCTTTACCATCCTTGCTTAGGATTATTCAGGTTATAGCAAGAAAGTTTTTTAAAATGAGGCCCATCTTAACTGAAAATATTTGCAATCTGTCTTGTTAGAGATGATCATGTGTAAAGTACAGAGGTCTGATTAGTATTCCCTTTGGTAATTTGAGAATGTTTCTTACTGTGCTAAAACTGCTTTTTTATTTCCTTCAGCCGAGCTGACTCAGCTCAGGGTGCCAGTTTCTCACTGCCGCTCTGCTCCGAGTGCCAGTGGACACAGTGATTACTAGCAGATCTAGGGGCAGATCTAAGTCGGCAGCTGCTTTGGTTGGACAGAAGCAGACTATACTAGCTGAGCAGTGAGAAAGTATTTTCAGATGGCGGCAGAATTGCTTAATTCCCTAGGTCCTCATCTTTTGTAAGGTCTAGTTACTTTTTTCTCCATTACAGGTACAGAACAGCTATGGCAATGGTGAGAATTCCTTTAGCGAGGGAATCCTTCCAGGAGTAAGAGCTGGTGTAAGATTCCTGTGTCAGCCTCTTTAGTCAGAGAAGGGAAGGTAAGAAAGAACCACTGTGTGTCTTGGCTACCTTTGTGTTRTATTTTAGCTAATTGTGTACTAGGCTTCTTTTCACATTTGAGCAGATATGTGTGTGCATAATTTCTATACATCTCTAGCTGGTCCTATCAGCTGGTCTGTTGTATGTTTATTGTAGATATTTTATTTTTGCTTTTATTCTGCCTACAAATGCTTTTAGAAGAGTAGAGAAATCTTTTAAATAAAATATAACATCTAGCTTAGCTATAGGAAAATGTTAAAATTACATGGGAATCTGTGTAAATAAAATACCATCTACTCACAATAAAGGATAAAGGATATAGCTGTGCAAAAATTGCCTGCGAGTGGTCCCATGATATTTAGAATGTTAGGATAACTAATTGGCTTTCTCAAGCTGTCAGACCATTTCATATGAAGAAACTTCTTGAAGTTAATTAGCTGAGGAAGGGGCTTTCCGGGAAATTTTCCTCTTTCTTCATGGTCCTGTGTCTGTGACACCTGCACTGTTGGTGTGTTGCATAATTTAGTTTTGAGACATGTAATTTTGTTTGTATTTTACCAAATTTCTAGAATGACTTATGAGCATATCCTATTCATTTTTTAAAGACACTGGCATTCTCCATCCCTGCTCCTTTTTGACATCTCCTTTACATAAGTGTTTTTGTTTTCTAATTTCACTTTAAAATTAGACTTTCATCTGAGACCTGCTGATGAAGGTTAGAATATGATTACCAGTGGGATGCAAGGCAGCGGTGCAGGTGAGGTTGAGAGTGTCAGAGCAAATTTGAGTAAGTTTCAAGAAAGATGTTTCTCATTAGCTTGGAAATTAGTAGCCTAAATTACTAAGATTGGCAGCAGGCTGAAGGTGTTAGCTCACTTGCCTGTAAGAGGAGACTTGAATCAAGTTCTGCATAGTTGATATCTTCTGTGACCTGGTCACAGAGAGAGCAATATAGTTCTTCAGAAGTATTTGACCATGAGAATTTCCTGCACAGAATAAGTCTAGGTTTAAATCCTTGTTGTTTCTTGCTAGAACCTGGACAAAGACCAGGAGCACTTTGATTATGGAGCAGTGGTTATTTTGTTTTTGTTTTGTTTTTGTTTTATTTTTAGCTCCTTTTGCAATTTCTCAGATTTTGGTTTCATCSTAAGGGGAATGAAATGAGCAAGACTCCCGAAATGTCAGAAGATTTTAATGCAGTAGAGAAAGTSTGGTGTATGGGCAGTCGAGGATTTACTCTCCTACGAATGGGGATACTAGTGTGGGTCTTTACTTAGATAGATCTGCAGTGCTTTGAAGTACCTTATGGGAAGCCAATTTGACTTCTAYATTTGCAAGAGTTATTGCAGTGGCAAACCTGCTTTACACCTCACCAGGTTTGTGAAAGTTTCTTGCCAAAACTCATGTTATGTAATTCCTGCGTTAACTGCCCATCCATTTCAAGTATTCATTTTGCCCTAGATCTAATGGAGGAAGAATGATAGTTATGTTTGCAAATTTTCATATCAAAAGCACCAGTGGAAAATGGCTTTGCTTTCAATAGGCTATAAGCACCTTAGTACTTAAGTGCATTTTGAAGACAAGCTCTTAAGTCACTCTAGATGCTTGCAATTTTTTTACACTAATGATATTTCAGAAAAAGTAGATCTATGAGTTGCAGCAAGAAGTATTTGGAAAGGGCATTGTGAACAAAAAAAAAAAAAAAAAAAAAAAAAAAANAATAACCGCCAGCAACACTGGGGTGTTTCTTTTTCTTTTTTTCCCCTTTTTTTTTTCCCCTGGTTTCTTATTGAAAATACTTAATTAGTAAAACCTTTTCTACTTTTCAGAATGAAGTTTAATTTGCAAAATGGATTTGGCAAGTACACATTTTTTCTATGTGAGTTTCTATCACGTAACAATATTGTGTTGGGATCATGTCCCTGCCTACAAGGATGTAGGCTAAAAAGATTATTGTAGAGTGAAAAAACAGAAGAAGAGTGTACATCTGGAAAAAACAGAATCATGACAATGATGAGAACTTTAAACCATGTTGGTGACAATCGATGTTACATACATATTCTTCTGAAAGTGATATAAAAGGCCATTTGGCTCAGAATGGTAATTAAGATTCAGGTTGCAGGAAATGAAACATTTGTTTCCTTCACAATTCAGAGTGTCTGTTAGTAAATAGTTTCCTAGGGGATCTATCCAAATGCAATGTGCCAGTGGCCTCTGTATGCATTTGCCTAACATTTAAGATGATGTTGCTCCCTATGAAACTACAGGGCAAAAACACAAAAGATGACARGTGTTACAGGAGATCTAGGCTAAAAAAATGTTCAGAAATGTTTCCCATCTTAAAAATAAAAAGCTATATATTTTTAAAAGGTGAAATGGAAGAAATTTGAGAGGTTCTCTTCCGYCTTCTGATGCAACTGTAGAAGGAAAGGATAAATGTAGCTGCACTCTCCTACTCTCATTCTCATGACTAACTCAAGATTATTATGCTCAGAACTTCTGTTGTGATACTTTTCCAAGTTCATTGAAACAAGAAAAGCAAAATTGTTGAAGGAATGTTCCTTTAAAGTTGTTAGAAGTATTATGTGCTTGCTTACCATAAATTTGTCAGAAAATTTGTCCTTTGGCATTTCTTTAACTTTCATTTTTGTGACATATTCAGCTTTTCTAGTTCAATATACAATTCACATTTCCATACMATTCACATATGTAGCACCAGATCTTTAGTTTACCTGACTTTCTGAAAGGTCTTGTTGGCCTTGTCCTAGGCAGCTTTTAATTATTTGGCTGGCTGACAGGAGYTGAGAGTTCTTTATCTGTTAACAGCAATGTTCTCTTGTTTCTGTTCACTGCACTGCATTTCAACATGTAACCACCTGTAAATGGCAAGATACAGACGACGTTTGACCAAATTCCGAGTTCATTATGGATTTAGTTACTACAATCCCAATAGTGTTTAGTTTCTCCACCTTGCCCCCAGGTTTATTCTATATCCCTACTGCAGGGGTTTCTTTCCTGACTAATAGTTTTATTGCYGCAATTAAATTGTTCAGTATATGATAACAGCTTTACCAAACCAAGACCTCAGGTGTCATTGGGAAAATATCCAAACAAATAAGACCAATCCAAGTAACCGTTGAGAACGTATCCAACCAATGAGGCATATCCAGGCAGTAGCATTTTCAAGAACTGGTAGGGCTTCTGCATGCATTTGCACTAGTTGTGATGCAATGAGAGATTTCAGAAATAAAGATTAGTTGAATATGGGTTCAGAATGTTGCCTAAACCCAGATTTGCTGGGAGCAGATATCCTATTGGCAAAGTACCTAACTTCACTGTGGCTCAGTTTGCCATCTGTAATAGAGAGGGAAACAGCACTGGTCTTACCTGATCTTTTTTTTTTTTTTTTCCTCCCCAGGCTGTATCCTTGTGTTGTTCATTAAATATTCTGAGAATATATTAATGATATTATTATGAACAAGAAATTGGCAGCCCGGTTTAAATGTAGTGATTTCTATTAACGCAAGTTAGTAAATGAGCTATTTGCTATGAGGAAAAAGAAAAAAAAATCTCCAGTGTGGTGGCAGGAAAGGCATAAAGGCACTGAAGAGACTTATAAGGATTTTGAGATATACTGGCAAGTAAGAACACAGGTTTTGCACCTTTGAGATTCAGGTCAAGATTTTGCATTCCCGTCTTATCCAGCAAAGCACTTTGAAGTCTTGGTGACAAAAATGAGATGTGTTCTATCTATTCATTGAGCATATACTGAAGTTCCATTTTTAATTGCCGTAGACTCCAGGAGTTTGATTAAACGTGACTAATGAAGGCCTGTCTCTAGTTTCAAAGCTATCCAGGAAACACTGAATGAAGTGTTACACGTTTTTATCTTCTTTACATGTTTTTCTCTTTCTTCAGGATTTATGTGTGATCTGTGTTGGATTTTAACACACCGAAGAATACTTTTCACTTCAAAACAGTTTGCATTAAAGGATCATGGTAGACAATTTAATGCTTTCTTTGAGGTAAGTGATGAAATAAATGTTAAGTATTATATAATACGCTGCAATATTTCTGTTTGCCTCTTGTTTTTAATGTTTATAGGTATTTTAAMTGTATGGATCATAGGAGGATAAATAAAAGATTGTCCAAAGTAATTGTCCAAGCATATGTATCCCAGACATAGCATTCCTTGATAGTAAGATAAGAAATTGTTTATGCTTTGAGCATCTGTTAGTCTGTGTTGTGATAGCAAGTTTTTGTGAGAACGCTGAAAAAAACCTTTCCTTCTTTTATTTATTTATTTATGTTTTTTGGAGGCTTTTTTTTTTTTTTTTTTTTTNTTTTTTTTTTTTTTTTTTTTGAGGCTCCGTGACTAGTGTCACTGGCCTTAGATAATTCAGGTTTGTGTGCTTTTGTGTCTATGCTGCAGTTCATTAAGAAACTTGTATTATGCATTCATGAAGTGTCTTGCCATGAGGCAAACATAGGAAAGATCTTTCAAACTTTTTTTTTGACAAAGCAAACAGCTGTTTTTAAGCTGGTCTGTCCAGTTCTGTAGCTGGACAAGCAGACTGGGGAGAAGAACAGGCAGCTGTGATACTATAGGGACAAAAGTTCATGTCCTGCTTGGAATGACAGCTGCAGTATATTGAACCTCGTTCTACTTAATTCGTGTGGAGATGCTGTCAGTAATAGCTCTGCTCTAAACTTACTTCACTGTGTATTCAGACATGAATCTTGGGATTTGAATTCAGGCACCCTCCTAATATTCCAGAGCAGATTCCACATCAAAATGCATCTGTCACGTATTATTGGCAATAGCTATGTTACCCTTCCTGTTGAGGCTTCTCTCTGCATATCTTCCCCCAAACTGTCCCAGACTTTGACTGTCCTGTAGAGTTTCACTGTAAGGGCTAAGAGACAAGAGCCACTTGTCAGGCACTAAACCCACACCTAAAATCTTTTGCTTCTGTATGGATAATTCACAGTTGGCCAAAATAGCTCTCCTTAGAAGTGCAACTATTGAGGGACAGCAAAAATGCAAGAAATCTCCTTTTGGGTACCCTCTAGCTTATTTCATTGGCAACTACTAAGTGGTGCAATGGCAGAGGAGGAACTGGGAGAGAGGTGTTTTGAGTTGAACAGTCTTACATCGTCTGGGTTGCTGGGAATGAGTGCTGTGGGCCCTTTTTCCAGGATAGCAGGCCTGTCCTGCTGCTGCCTAGAAACAGCTCCGATTGCTTGTCTTACCAGGAGGCCTTTCCCGCTAAACAGAAAGAAAGCATGTTTGCTTGGTCTGGTGCAGTGCGGCTTGAATTAGGTACCTGACTTAGCTTTAACTAGCTGCCTGGCAACAAATAACTGCATAACTGACAGCATAGGCTCTAGAAACAAGGTACTTGCTTGGAGCCTGACTTAAACAGCCGCAGAGCAACTGCAATTGGTACCTGAACTGTCAAACCTGAAGGAAATTGAGGGCATATGAGCTGTGAGTGCACAAAGGAATATCTGTGTCAAAGTAATCTCTCTCTTCACAGGACAGAGATTTTGATTTAAATGCTGTGCTAACCATGTATATTCAAAAAGTTCTGCTTAAATTTGAGGAGCCTTTGCCCTTTGCCCTTTCCGCGGTAGGTATACCTGGAACAAACCCACTGAAGCTGGAGATCTATTTCTGTAGCTTAGGAAGCCTAAAGCTGGTCAAGTCCAAACAAAAAAAACCCAAAAACTAAAAATCAAAAAACTAGTACAGAGGAATTAGCTAAAGCAAGCTATTAAGTGAAGTAATTTTAAATTAAATCACTATAAGCTCAGGATGTCTTGAATATTCCTGCTAGATTTCTGATGTTCTAGCAACAGTAGGTTGATAACCAAGGTGTTTCTGGGAGATCCAAGTGCACATACAGAAGCAAACTGAAATCTAGCTTTGCATGCAGGTGCAGACTACAATGCAACAGTTTTAGAGAATAGTCAGGAAAAGCTTGGCACGGAGTAATTGCATAAATACTACACTGAGATAATACTCTAATACACTTCAGAACTGAAATCTTTAATCTGATAAGTAATTTGCTTTGAAGATTACAGTTCTCATTTCAGCACTCTCAACCTGGTGTATGATTTCAATAGAATGTATTCATGGAAATGTGTAGTCCTTCAGACTGATCAGAAAATCCTGCCCTTCTGTGAATGACAGCATTCATTTCCTTATGCAACTTTTGAACTTTCTTTTGCACATGCTCAGGGATTAGGGGGAGTAGAATCCCTGAGTGAGAGCAGGAACTGTTGGAAACTTTTGAAATTAAATTACCTTGTAAAGGGTGTAGGCTAGTTCTCTCAAACTAGAGGTCCTGTCTACTTATGCACTTGAGTTTTCATTGAGAAGGTTAGGATTTCATGATTGCATGAGTATTTGGAAACAGCASCTGAAGAGAGTTGAAGAGAGACTTAACATGGTCATGTTGCAGTTTGGAGCTCTAGCTCTGTTTCTGATTCTGCATTTGATTTGAGGTGTGATTGGCAAATCAGCTTCTTGCGTCTGCCTTTGGCTGCCATCCACCACTGCCGTTGGGCCTTGCTCTTAACTGCACGTTTGGGCTCTTACTGCTGTTTCCTTATAGTGCCTTACACTGGCTCTGATTTCAGATGACTCTTTGGTGCCTTGCTTTATCTCAGATCACAGGTATATAAAACGCAATACTTCTTTCTAATAGTCTTTTAAAGTGTTTATTTTTTTTTCCAAATTAACATGACAGTAAGGAAATAAAGACTTTTTTTTCCCCTCTTTGAATGGTTCSTTGCTTTTAGAGAGAGTGGCACAGACTGATGATGAGGTGATGATAGGCCATGTACAATTAATATTTATCTAATAGATGCTTTTGCAGGATATTAACAAGAGCAAACAAATAATACTCTGCTAGGCAGAATTGTTTTTCTTGGGTTTTCGGTATTTGTGCTAATGAAATGCTTAGTATAGAAAAGCTGTTTCTGTTTGGTAGAMCTGTATCTGAAAATATGTTACTGTGTAGGGAGAGAAGGAAAGAGTTCTAAGAAGGAAGCACAGCTGGATTTTTGTCTGGCCCATTAGTTTACAGATTGATTTTGTGTTCAAAACTATCAGTTTTGTTTCTGCTTTGAGATTCAACAAGTTATTAACAGGTATTTCCTTCATGAAGGATCTCAAACTTTGTAGACCTGGAGGTCAAACTCCTGGTGGAAACAAATCATCTAACTCATACCTTCCCTTTAACCAATGGGTTTCCTGATGAAAGGGGTGGGACAAACCAGTCTCCAGTACAAACTGTAGCAATCAAAAGGCTGGGCTAACTGAGCCTAACTTGTAGTGGGCTCCTAGGAGTCGTTACAGTGGTGAGGCTTGACAGAGCAAAGTTTGTTTAGGCTTCGTTCCCATTATGGCTCCTTTCAGATTGAAGATGTGGGGCCTGGGGTGATGCTTGGCTGCTTATCCCGAGTCTCTGGTGAACTGTTTCCGCTTCTTTCCCTCTCCTGTGCCCGTTAGGTTATTCAATTTCCACAAGTGTTAGGCAGCTGGGGAAGGACCTGTTTGCTGAAAAATCATGGMGGTTTTGTGCATGTTTCCTGAGTGCAGGAGGTGGAATGTTCATCCACGAAAACAAGGAGCCAGGGTTAGAAGCAGACTTGGTTAACAGATAACTGATCTTTTGCTTTACACTTTCGAAAACTTGCAAAACCTAAGTTTGCTTGACCCCAATGCTGCAGTGTGAAAACGGGCAGTTCTGAAAATATTTAATTTAGAGATAAAGTCATCTAAAATATACCCAATGGATTCCATTTAGTGAAGTTTTTCTTTATAGATGGACAGATATACATGTGTACCTGTTATCACATGTTGTGTAGTGAAGGGAATGTCATTAGAGCTTTTCTTACAGTTTAGTGACTTTGCTTTGGTTAGTAGTGGGATATCTGTAYGTTCTTGTAGTATCAAGCCCTGTAATAGGTTGTAGATGTGTGGTTTGGTTTAGTGGTAACTATAATATTCCGTTTCACTGTTCAATTTTTCAGACTTTTCAGTTCCTTGGCAGTGCTGGGATTTCAGATTGTCATCCCACAACCTTCAATCGAACACAGAAAGGTAAGCATGAGAAATATTTAGATTTTGTCTACCTAAAGCTAAATGTAGAAATCACTAGGGTGAGATGTATAAAGCAATGCAATTCCAATAAAGTTCTGGTGGTAGTGTGATTTTTATTTATTTATTTATTGGTGTATTAACATATACTCAAAGAAACTGTTCATAAATAATTATTTGAATGGTGATAAATAGGAAAAAAAAATCTGTCGAGAGTGTGTTGTTGCAAGTTGTAAGGAAATATAGAGTGATTAACAGATGTATCTGGTTGCTCATAGGTAGCAGTTTTTCTTACAGAGATGGAGACATCTGAAACAAATAGACCTTGAGCTCCAACCACACTTGATTTGCTAGATTTTAATTATCTCTCAGTGTTGGAGTTGGAAACTGCTCTGCTTTTCTTGTGCTGTTGTGAAAAGTTCATGCATCTTAGATGTTGGCATGTCTAAGAAGACTTTGGAGCCCAAAGAACTCATCCATCCTGCTCAGCGTTCGTGAGGTCTTCATTCAATTTTTTTCACTACTTTCAGGAAAGTAGTGGACTGTTTGAAAAGAGAGAGAACAATAGAGATTGTTACTAGATGTCTTGAAAACCTGACCTCTTAGGGAACTATTTTAAATCTTATTTTCCTTGTACAGTTGAGATGATTGTTGCTCTGTTTTCAATACTCTGTCTAATTAGACATTCCTTTGTAATATTGACAGTGGGGAGATGGTACAACCCAGTTTCCATATGGCCTTAGGGGAAGAAAAAATCTACCAGCTAGAACAGAGCAAGTCAGAAACAATTGCTTCATTCTGTGAAGCTCCAAAACTAGTTTTGATAAAATTAATTTCTTTGATTTTAGTTGAATGAGAAATACTATGAGCCTGGAGCATCTACTGTTTTAGTTAAAAGAGCTGAAGGCATATGGCATTAACGGACTTTTTTTTCACTTTATTGGAGTCTCTGCTGGTGTGGTGAATACTTCGGAGCTGTTGTTTTCACTGAAAATGAAAATTCCATCTCCCAGCGATGACCTTTGGTGCCACAACTGTCTGTTGTTCTCAGCCCTTACACTGTGGGCCAGGATTCTCCTCATGTATTCAGACTGGAACTGTCCTGTGCTAAATTTTTCAGAAATCTTCTGATGAATCTATGGTTCCAGACAAAAAAGAAAAGTCTTTTTCTGTTGTTGTTGTTGATAGAAACTTCAAAGGCACGTTCTTAGTTCAGTAACTCTGGGAGATGTTCCTTCTCTGTTGATGTGGAAAGCTGAGGCTCCCCGGTCAGCATCTATTTCTGCACTATATAAAAGGAGTAACTAGAGCTGACATCCAGTGAAACAAACTTATACCATTATCTTTAGGGGGTTATTTTGCAGCTTAAAACCATGCATATGTTTAGGATTGACCCTTGAATGTATGTTGTTAGAGAGTAATTGTATTTTGTCTTGCATGGAAAGCTGAATATAGTTGTTTTTGCTCTGAAAGCTATGGATAGAGAAATACAATCAAAGAACTAGACTTAGGTTTTTGGCTAAATATCTTTTTTCTTACAACTTTTGGGAAAATTAAATAAAAACCAGGACAGTTCCCAGAGCAGTGATCAGAAATCCAGTTTCAAGTGCCTCTAGACACCCACTGTGCAGCTGAGATCTTGTATTTATGAATTGAAAACACCTGCAAACATCAGAAAACACACATTTGTATTTATTTCAAAATCTTAGTAATACATTCTGACCTGCTATTTCATTTTTGTTTAGAGTTCAGAGTAGTTTCTTGCTTAAAATAATAGTTTCRGAGGCTGACAAATAGTACTGATTTTGAACAAAAACCTTCTTTCAATTTCTGAAATTATGTAAGAGGTTCTAATTATCTCTAGTATCTTAGAACCACATAAAGCAGCATTTAGCTATTACTGACATGTTTTTAGTACTTTAGTATTAAGGAAGAAGTGCATCTTTTTTTTTTTTTTTTTTTTTTTTTTTTTTTTGTTCCTTCAAAGGAAGCCTAAAGAAATTCTGGAAGAGCTAAGCTCCGCAGGTTGTTCTGCTAAGGAGTGCACAAAAGAAAAATCAATTTCTAGCATGACAGCTTAGGCGTTGTTAGAAAAATGAGCCAAATTACTGACATGGTAGAGAACTGTAAGTAGTGGAAAAAGACTTAGGGGTATGACAGCACCAACAGGGAAAGGTTTGTTTTATTTCCCTCATTTGTAGTTTATTCTGTAATTTCTTTCTTTTCAGGTACCCCCTCCCCATCTCCAAACTGACCAATTGGTTAGTTTACCAAAATGGTAACACTTTTCCAGTTTCCCTTTTATTACTCTGAGGAAACATTAACTTGGCTATTACAATAAAAATAAATGTTTTGAACACTAGGTAGTTAAAAAAAAATACCTTTTTGGGAAACATTTGACTGGATGATGCTTTCTGCTTTTAGCTTTTAGAGTTTTGAAGTTAATGCTGCAAGCTTGTTGATCACAGGAAAAAGGTGACCAAAACAGAATTTCTAGTTTCAGCAATACCTGGCTACTTTAATTTATTTATTTCAACTTAGAAATAGTCTTGTGCTTATTTACCTTAAACAACATCACTGTTGTCAGATGCCCACAAAAACTGAAAACAAAGCCTATCTTCCCGTGTTTGTGCAGCTGAGCTTATGGCATCACTCTGTTAGCTAAGTGTCAGAATTTATTTTTACAAGCATTTCATTTTCTGTGATTCTGTGAGTGGTTCAGTGCCTCCCTGAAGTTTGTCCTACGTGGAATCTCTATGTGGCAAATAAATTAAAACTTTCATTTTATGGCACATTCTACGATTGTTTGGACTACCTRCTTTGACAGGGAGACTGGTTTTGTACCAACTCTCTTGTATCTAGGAAGAAGCCAAGAAATAGGCTGCTGATTTCTTTCTGCCTTTGTCTTTCCATCCTTGTTTTCCCTGGTGGTCTTGCTTGTTTAAATACACTGAACTACAGCAAAGGGCTTAACTTGTGAGGTTTAATTCCTTTTACTGGGTTGTAGGAAGAAGATGCTAGACATAGGAGTGCAGAGGTAAGAGGAGAGTGTACAGAGAGGATGGTAACTGTAAGAGTACTATTCCAGGATATGAGAATTTGATTACTAAAACTGACAATGATATCAATTTTAAGATTATATAGGATTATTTGTACATAAATGTGATCTTACACTTATATTTATGTTGTAATAATGATAGGGAAAGGCAATGTTTCCTCATTTTCACTGTTCTTTTCACTTTGCTGTGCCCCATAAAAGTCACTGCTCTGTTAACTGAAAGTGATATGGCTGCCTAATCCATTCAAATATGCTATAGTAGACTAAAACATGAAGCAGGGGAAAAGTCTTATGTATATCCTTGAAATACTGGGGGAAATAGGACTTAGACAAAGTAGTTAATATCTAAGCTTGGCTTTTGGCCAGGGCACTGAGGCAAATGCCGAAAAGGAGTGCTGTGGGATCTCTTGCTAATTCCTGTGCTTTGTGTTGGGGGTTAACATGGTCAGGGAATAAAAATCTTATTTTGTAGGGGAAAGAGAGGCAAGATAAAGATGTGTTTTTTGATGCAATCATCTCTTTGTAAATCAAAGCCAATGGTTTGKGTTTTTTTACACAAACATTGCCACAGAGCTCTTAAAATCAGATCTTAGATAAATATGTTAACTTTAAGCCCTGGAACACCAGGAGCTCAGAACTTGTTCTGTGTTTCTGTGGGGGAAAAAATGGAACATTCTTTCTTCCTGTTAGATTCTAAAGCAGGTGAAACTGCAAAGTGATAGATAGGCTGCTCACCTTTTTTCCTAGCAATGCTTAATGCTAGGCCTGTCCCAGGCTTTGGGCCGGAGCAATGATAAAGATTTCAACCCTATTCAGGCAGAATTTGGACAGATTCTTTTGTCAGGGAATATCACTCTCTTTTATGACACTTTGTCTTCCCTGCTGCTGGAGTGCTGCSCATATGAGTCACGGAGTGATCCTGGGCGGCGTTCCGTTAATTACTGGGTAAATAAAATCCATGTTCCTACCACATGTGGATTCCAAAGAGTTTCACAGAGTGTAGAAATATAAAACGGCAACAATTTTGTCACAGCTGAAAATGATTGACTTTGAAAAATTGTAGAGGCTTAATGATTAGATCACAGGTGATAATCAACGATATATACTTACATAAAATGAAGAAACCTCATTTCTGATATAATGATATATAGCCTGGTGCTGACCACCATTATGTTACTGTAAATCAGAAGCAATCCTGGCAGAGAAATGATAGGATTTTTATAAAATATGTGGAAGTTAGCCAGAGGAGTGGGCCCTGTATTTACTGGAAGGTACTTGATTGTCTCATAAAAAGAAAAGGAAAGAAACCTCTGTCTTAGAACATGTAACTCTCAGAGCATGATGGTGGTGGTCTTGGTGTGAAAAAACATTAGTCAAACTTGGAGGAAACCTCAAGCTTTGTTGGCATGAGAACAGTTCTGAACTCATTCAGAGCTGTTTTACTTTYTAGACTACTGAAACAATGTTAAAGTCTCTTCAGATGTGGTCCAAGTTGGTTGAAGGGGTGGTTAAACTTTCCAGGCATTGTAACTCTTCAGTGATTTGTGAATACAAAGGCCTTCTATTTCCAGGCTTTTTAGACCTTTAATCTTCACAGGCCCAGATGTTCAGGCGGATTTTATACAAAGAACGGAAACCCAAATCATTTAAGCTGGTAGTATTTACACTTACTATGTACTGTAAAATTCAAATGGTTTACTATATCTCTGATTAAAGGCTTCCAAAATGCACCGAAGGATTAAAATAGCAGAGCGTGCTAACCGAACAGACGTGTACACATTGTGTCATGATGTTTTGTTTGGCCTCTGCTCCATTTCTCCGCTAGCTGTGAGAGATGAGTTATCTGCAAGTTTTTAGGGGGGTTTGGTAGATTATTTTTAACAAACCGCCAGCGTTCCACATGTTTTTTGTAAGAGGTATTTAAAATACGGCTGTTCCAAGTGAA